TAGTGGAAGGAACAACTTCAGGATTTCCTTGATAAAGAGTTCATTGGTGGTCCGATGTGGATGCGTGTTCTAACTTGAGTCGGCTTGGTTGGCTCTGAATTGCATTGTTGAGGGATGTGTCGATTCGACTGTTATTGAACTTATTAGTAATTTGGGGAGGTCTATGAATTACCTTTCTGTGTTGCGAGATGTATGATTTGTTGGTTATGAACACATATGGTGCGGTTCTATTGGGGTTCTTAATCAAAGTCGAGCGGGAAGAGTAATTGGGTGTTGCTCGGTGAATGGCGTATCGGTCATATTCTATCGGGTTTGCGTGGTATATGTTAATTGCTTCACCGTGGGAGTAATGAATTTTCTTTGGTTCCGGACATCAAATTGTGCGTGGTTGTCGCTTTCGAGCATATTGACTTCGGGTGTTTTATGTGGAGCAGTGTTTGATAGGATCGCGCATTGCATCGAAGCTATGTGGAGATATGACCTTGCGGGTTATATTCGTGTGTTCTATTCAATGATGTGAGACGGGTTCTCAGCCTTGTGTTATAGTGGTACTGGTGAGCTTGCGGTACAACTTTTTCATTTGAGCCATGTTCATGATTTGAGTACGTTTGGATTGTTGCTTATTGCGCGTATTGTGCAAGTTGGGGCCTTAGTCTGTACTAAGGTGTCATGTTACCTGAGTAGTTGTATTGGATTAGATGAGATCGTTGGGATCTTTAATGAATTCAAACGGATTCGATTTCAGCATGTCGGGAGGATAAATATCGAGGTTCGGCTCAGAAATTTGCTATGATCCTTGCCAAAAGAGAAGTGGCCTTATGAATGGTTGATCTGAGAATTGGTTATGGTTTATTGCGTGTTTCAATTATCATTGGCAGTATATGGAAGTGTTGGAATGAGACTTTATTTGATAAAAGGTATTCTATCGGTATTCGGTTATTATGTGCAGCTGCGGTGATTAGAAGTTATCGCTACGAGTGTTTGAGTTATGTGTTATATCATGTGATTGCACCTGAGATAGCATATAGGGTTTGTTACAGCTTGTTCGGACTTATTCACAGTATAAATGTGAGATTCTGATCGTATTGAGGATTTTAGAAGCAGAAATGTGGTTCTATGGTTTATGGACCAGGATGGATTGTAAAATTTCAGTTATATTGTGTTATTGAACCTATATGAGATAGGGTGACGTGGGATCACCCTGGGTAAATGCATGGTAAAGTTATTCAGCTACGGATTGGCTTTTAGAACAACTCTGGGTACGTTCGATGACGAACGTGTGTTTAAGTGGGGGATGATGTAACGACCCGACCGGTCGTTTTGAGCTTTTGCACTTTGATCGCCAGTTCTTGGGCATGACTTGACCCGTATGATGTATTATGACTGATGTAAATCATTGATTTTGGTTTTCAAGGAAGTCGGTATGAATTTGAAAGAACAGTCTCAGTTGAAAGCTTTGAATTTAAAAGGTTTGACCAAGAGTTGACTTATTTGTATATGAGCCCGGGTCGGAATTTTTATGATTTGATTAGCTTTGTTGGGTGATTTATGACTTAGGAGCATGATTGGAATTGGTTTTTGAGGTCCGGAGTAGAACTAGGCTTGAATTGGCGAAGTTGAGATTTTGGCGATTTCTGGTTGGTAGGTGAGATTTTGATTCGGGGGTCGGAATGGAATTCCGAGAGTTGTCGTAGTTTCGTTATGTCATTTGTGACGTGTGTGCAAAATTTCAGGTCATTCGGACATGGTTTGGTTGGGTTTTGATCGAAAACGTATTTTGGAAGTTTTTAGAAAACTTAGGCTTGAATTCGATGTGAATTGATGGATTTGGTGTTGTTTGAGGTGTTTTGATGATTGGAACAAGTTTGAATAAGGTTTTAAGATATGTTGGTGCTTTTGGTTGAGGTCCCGGGGGCCTCGGGATGATTTCGGGTGGTTAACAGAGAAGGTTGATGTTGATTGCAGCTTCAGATTTTGCTGGTTCTAGTGTTTTCGCACCTGCGGTTTGGGGACCGCAGGTGCAGTGCCGCACATGCGGAAAGGAAGCCGCAAATGCGAAGTTTGGGCTGGGGAGCAGTTTCCGCAGAAGCGGTCGATGTGGCCGCATCTACGAAGCCGCAGATGCGGAAGTTAAGTCGCAGAAGAGACTTTTGGGATTTTAAGAGAAACCACAGAAGCGGTTGGTTGGACCGCAAATGCGGTACCGCAGGTGGGGTAATGGGGTCGCAGATGCGAAAACCCCTGGGCAGAATGTTTTAATTCGTTTCATCCGCGATTTTGAGCTATTTTTCCACCATAGCTAAGTATTTTGAGAGATCTTTGAGGGAAATTGAAGAGGGATTCATGGAGAATTGATTGGAGGTAAGATTTTCGAACCTAAAACTCGATTATTATTGTGAAATCCACCAAGAAATTAATGGAACTAAGCCTAAAAATGGAAGAACTAGGGCTTGGGATTTTGAAACTTTAAATTGGGATTTGAAAGACCATTTGAGGTCGGATTTGAGAACTTTTGATATGTATGAACTCGTGGAAGGATAAGGAACCCGTTGATATAAAAAAATTTGAGTTTAGAGAAGTGGGCCCGGGGCTCGGGTTTTGGTAATTTCGGGATTTGTGCCAGTTATTGATTGTTTTCGCTTGGGCTTTGTTCTCTTAGCATATTGTGATGTATTCGTTCTGATTTTGGATAGATTCGACGCGCGTGGAGGCCAATTTGAAGGGCAAAGGCGTCGCGAGCTAGAGATTTCGTCGGCTCGAGGTGAGTAATGATTGTAAATGATATCCTAAGGGTTTGAAACCCCGGATTCGCACATCGTAGTGATATATTGAGGTGAGACACGCGCTTGATGATGAGCGTGGGGTCGTTTACTATTGGGGATTGTGACTGGTCCGTCCCGATTGATGATTTTACCGCGTATTTGACTGAAATTTATTTGCGATCATTATGTTTTGGGCTGATTGCCATATTTAGGCTTCGTGCCAGCTATGTGAACCCTTCGGGGATTGTTGTTGATATTTCCTCACTGTTTTGATTTCATAGTTGAACTTATTCATGTTATTTTCCACTGTTTTCAAAACTCAACCAAGTTTATTTTGCTTTAACACTTGAAATGATATTTCGAACAACATTTTGGGCTGAGCATCATGTTTTAGTGTTGCCCGAGTGGCTTATATGATTTTTGACTGAGTATGGCCGAGGGCCAGTTGTGAGGATGCTTTTGGATAGGGCTGCACGCCGCAGCAGTGAAATAATGATATTGATGTGAGGCCGAGGGCCTAGATTTGATGCCACGAGATGGCTTGATATTGCGCTTGGACTGTAAGGGGCCTCTCCCGGAGTCTGCACACCCCTAGTGAGCGCCGTCGACGAAATATATGGATCGGGTTGCACGCCGCATCGATATACGGATCGGGCTGCATGCCGCAGCGGTGCTGGTACTGTTCTATGTGTTTACTTTGTTTCATTTGTCTGCCATTATCTGTTGTTTGTGCTACTTCATGTGATATCTATCTGATTGCCTGGCATTATCTATTAATTGAGTGTTGTGCCTGAGGGGCGGATTTCTGTGCTTATCTGCACTATTTGTTTGCATTTATTTGTGCAACCGTTGAGAAAGTCATTTTCAAAAGAGGTTTAGACTGAGCTAAGATGTTTTTCCTAAAGATTTCACAGCTTCGCTGCTTTCTCAAAGGGTTTTGTACTGCTCTATACAACATGATGGTTTGTTTTACGTGATTTCTTGCTGCTCAGTTATTATTTACCTTTATTACTCACTGAGTCGGAGTACTCACATTACTCCCTGCACCTTGTGTGCAGATACAAGTATTTATACACCCGGTAGCGGATTTTGGTTGATCAGAGGCAGAGTTATCGGAGTTTAGAAAGGTGGCTGCCGGCGTTCGCAGCATCGCTTTCCTCCCTTTTGTTCATTATTCCCGTTTTGTATAATTTAGACGTTGTAGTTGTATTTACACCTTAATAGATGCTCGTGACTTGTGACACCCCGATTTGGGTTGTGTTTGGGTTGTATTCCGCACTTAATAAAGAAAACTTTTGTTAGACTGTGGTTATTTAATTATGCTAAAACTGTTTATTCATATTAACTATTCTGAAAAGGCGAAATTGGTTGGTTGGCTGGCTTTGTCTTCACGACCGGATCAGAGTCTGGGTCGTGTCAGAATGCCATACATTCAAAATGTAGTAAATCTAAGACACAACATATCATTATTAATGCCATACATACATATATATAAAGTGTGTGTGATGAAAGAAACAAAAAACTTAAGAAAATTCAATTACTGAGAATCTACAGAAAAGAAAATTTGATCTAACGATCCAGAATTTCCCACAACTTTCAAATTCCATTACCTCGAGTTGCTTGAAATTTTCGGATTTCATGAACTAGTGTAGCCATCTTTGCAATTCAAAATAAGAGAAACCACATGCTACTGTTGAATCAACTTGCGGAATACTATTGTTAAAGAGAAAGAAGAAATCACATAAAATATTATTTGCGTAGATAAAAGGCAGTTATGGAATTAAGTTAGTGATGAAGCCCACGTTTGGGATCGTGGTTTTTTTTTTCTTCTTCTTTTTCCCCGTGTTATTGTAAAAATTTGCAAATCTAATTATTTAGATATATATTATTAACTTAAAAAAAGGCCTAATCCCAACGTGAAGATAAAAAAAGGGTCTAATCCCAACGTGAGAGGAATTAACTAGTTTTTTTATTACCCAAATTTATTTAATAAATAAATTCAAAAATACCAAACAAAACGTGGGAGGAATTGTGATTTTTTTTGTTTGTTTTAACTTGCAGATTTTTAAAATTTAAAATAATTTCAACTCTAACAAAGTTGAAGAATTGTCCTAAATTTAGACACTTATCAATTTAATATTATGCCACTTGTCGTCGTAAGCTTTCTTTGTTTCTCCTTTTATATATATAAAAATAAATAAATAAATAAATAAATAGATACTCCTTTCCTCCGGTTAGTGTGGACCTTTTCCCTACACTTTATCATCCTAAGTTTCGTATTCGATACTCAAAGACCAGAGTCCTTCAGGGAGGAGAAAACCAAATTCTCCTCCTAAATCACATCATTCAATTTATCATACTGTTATCAATCCAAATGGGGACCTACTTTTGGATTTCGTTTTTCACAATTCTCATCCAATTAATGACGGCTACTGTAAAATCCCAGCAGCTAATCGAGTCCCAATTGAATCTCCCTAGCTGTCCTGGACCCGACCCGACACTTAATTACCGGCCGGTCATCGGAATTGTTAGTCATCCCGGCGACGGAGCTTCTGGCCGCCTTAATAACGGCACTGATGTCTCCTACATCGCAGCTTCTTATGTCAAGTTTGCTGAAATGGCTGGTGCTAGAGTCATTCCGCTTATTTATACTGAGCCTCCTGAAATTCTCAATCAAGTAAATAACTTTTTTTCCCTTCCTTTAGTTCAGCTTTACTTCGTATTTTTGGAAAATCAGATTTTATCAATGAGTACGTAATTACGTTAATTAAAATGTGCCATTTATGACAACTTAAGCTTTTAGTTTAGATGATCACACTTAGTTGGCCAAGGTCTTAGGTTCGAGTCTCATCATCCCACCCAACTATCAAAAAGAGATGATAAATGTATATTTTTAGCTGCTCCAAAAAATAATAGCCAATAAATACATATCTTTTGTGTGTGTGTATATATACATATAATATACATATTTTATATACTCTTTGGCTAATGGATGCAAGACTGGCCAATTTTGTATTTTTCCCGAAAGAATGTACACGTGCTTGGCCCATTAAAAAGAACTAGGCCTACGCATGAGGGCGTGTAATACTTAATTAAAGTAAATAATAATGGTAACGACTTAACCTCTTAGATGAGATGACTAATTTTGTACACAGGCATATGGTTTTAAATGGGTCTGAATAGAGGGAATTGGTACCGAGGATTTGTATAGGTGATCATAATAAGTTTGGGGTTTAGGAGTAGTTGATTGCCTGACTTATTGGTCCTTTTTCATAAGTCTACTTTTAAATTACTCCCTCCTTTTCAATTTATATGGCTTAGTTTGACAAGACACGGAGTTTAAAAAAGAATGTACTCGCTATGTTTCACTTTGCTTGGCACTATTTCCTTATTAGCTTGTTCCAAAAGAATGATACATTCTTATATTTACTTCATGAGAAACTTCTATAGCTATATATATGTTATGACATGTTTAAGATCACACGTTTCAAGAGTCTTATAACCACATAAATGTTATGGTATCTTTAAGACTACAAGTATTAAAAGCCTTTACTTTCTTTCTTAAATTTTGTGTCAAGCGAAATTATGACAAACAAAGTGACGGAGGGAGTAAGACTTTTGATACTTGTGGTCTTAAATATGCCATAACATTTGTGTGGTTATAAGACTTTTGAAACTTGTGGTTTTAAATATGCCATATCATTTGTGTGACTATAAAAGCTTGTCATTGAGAGTAAAATGCGGAGTTCAAGTTAAATTGCTTCTAAATTTAGAAAATGTTATTCTTTTTGGAACAGACTAATAAAGAAATAGTATCATTCTCTTTGGAAAGGAGGGAGTACAGGAAGTTGCAGCCAAATAAAAATTCTCTAACTATGATGAACCGTTTGAACATCTGCATCTAGTATGAAATGGATTTGAATGGAGGGAAATGGTTGTAATATGGCATAACATTTGTGTGGTTATAAGACTTTTGAAACTCGTGGTTTTAATATGCCATATCATTTATGTAACTATAAAAGCTTGTCATTGAGAGTAAAAATGCGGAGTTCAACTTAAATTGCTTCCAAATTTTGAAAATGTTATTCTTTTTTGGAGCAGACTAATAAAGTAATAGTGTCATTCTCTTTGGAAATGAGGGAGTAAAGGAAGTTGCAGCCAAGTAAAAATACTCTACTATGATGAACCGTTGGAACATCTCCATCTAGTATGAAATGGGTCTGAATGGAGGGAAAGTATACAAAGGATTCATGGAGTTGACTTAACTAGTTTGAGTTGAGCTGTAGCATATTGGTTGACTGATTGATCTTTCAAGAGTTAGCAGATTAATTAGGAGGATTGTAAGCAACGTAAATACAGTCGTAACTACGGTGAATAAACAAAGATCCTTATAGCTGATTCAACTAGTTTGGAGTGAGACACGGTTGAATGTTTGACAGATTGGTCTTTTCACAAGTTTACAGATAATAAGGAGGGTTGCAGCTAAACTAAAAACAGTTTAACTATGGTGAATCATCTAAAAATTAGTATTTAGTATGAAATGTGTCTGAATGGAGGGAGTGGATACAGGAGATTCATATAGCCGATCCCAAGTAGTATGAGATTGAGGCAGAGTTGATTAGTTGACTGATTGGTCGTTTCAGAAGTTCCCAAAACCACTTAGTTCCTTATTTTAGCTTCGGTTCCTGCTCTTTTGATGTGTATGTAAATTGCAAGATTGCCTTCGGTTTTTTCCGATTTTCACCTTTACAAGTTTTTTATTTTGTGTGTGAGAATGCACGGGAGAAAAAATGATATTATTCACACATGACAATGATATAATGAATACATATGAGACTAGGGTTATTTATTACTAATTACATAACTATTCTAACACTCCCCTCAAGCTGGTGTATATAAATCATATGTACCGAGCCTGTTACATATGTAGTTAATACGAGGACCAGTGAGAGACGTGGTGAAAATATCTGCAAGCTGATCATTCGACTTTACAAACTTTGTAACTATATCTCCTGAGAGTATCTTTTCTCTAACAAAGTGACAGTCAATCTCAATGTGTTCAGTTCTCTCACGGAACACTGGATTTGACACAATATGAAGAGCAGCTTGGTTATCACACACAAGTCCCATCTGACTAATCTCACCAAATTTCAACTCCTTGAGCAACTGTTTGATCCAAATTAGCCCACATGTCGTCATAGCCATTGCTCGATATTCTGCTTCCGCACTAGATCGAGCAACCACATTCTATTTCTTGCTCTTCCAAGACACCAAATTTTCTCCTACTAAGACACAATATCCAGATATAGAACGTCTATCAGAAGGTGATCCTGCCCAATCAGCATCTGAGTATCCAACGATCTGCTCATGGCCTCGATCCTCAAACAATAAACCTTTGCATGGAGCTGATTTTATATAACGAAGAGTGCGGACAACTGCATCCCAATGACTATCACACGGAGAATCCATAAGCTGACTCACAATACTCACAAGAAAGGAAATGTCAGGTCTTGTCACTGTAAGGTAATTTAATTTACCAACCAACCGCCTATATCTTGCAGGCTCGCTAAGAGGCTCCCCCTATTCTGGCAGAAGTTTAGAATTCGGATCCACCGGAGTGTCAACAGGTCTACAACCTATCATTCCTGTCTCCTTAAGAATATCTAAGGCATACTTCCGTTGTGAGATCACAATACCTGAGCTAGACTTAGCGACCTCAATACCCAGAAAATAGTTTAGTTTGCCCAAATCCTTAGTCTGAAAGTGTTAAAAGAGATGTTGATTCAATTTAGTAATTTCATCCTTGTCATTGCCGGTAATAACAATGTCGTCAACATAGACCACCAAATAAATACAAAGACTCGAAGCAGAATGCCGATAAAACACAGTTGATCAGCTTCACTCCGAGTCATGCCAAACTCCTGGATAACTGTGCTGAACTTACCAAACCAGGCTCGAGAAGACTGCTTTAGACCATAAAGTGACCGGCAAGCGACATACAAGGCCACGAGACTCCCCCTGAGCAACAAACCCAGGTGGTTGCTCCATATAAACTTCATCTTCAAGGTCATCGTGTAAAAAAGTAAATAACTTTTTTTCCTTCCCTTTAGTTCAACTTTACTTCGTATTTTTGGAAAGTCAGATTTTATCAATGAGTACATAATTACGTTGACTAAAATGTGCTTTTTATGACATCTTAAGCTTTTAGTTTAGATGATCACACTTAGTTGGCCAAGGTCTTAGGTTTGAGTCTCATCACCCCGCCCAACTATCAAAAAGAAATTAGCTGCTCCAAAAAATAATAGCCAATAAAAAACATATCTTTTGTATATATATATATATATATATATATATATATATATATTACGCATTTTATATACTCTTTGGCTAATGGATTTTATAAGTTTCAACCGACTGGCCAATTTTGTATTTTCCCTGAAAGAATGTACACGTGCTTGGAAAAAGAACTAGGCCTACGCGTGAGGGCGTGTAATACTTAATTAAAGTAAATAATAATTTTAACAACTTAAGCTTTTAGATGAGATGACTAATTTTGTACATAGGCATCTGGTATTAAATGGGCCTGAATGGAGGGAATTGATATTGAGGATTTGTATAGGTGATCATAATAAGTTTGGAATTTAGGAGTAGTTGATTGATTGACTCATTGATCCTTTTCATAAGTCTACTTTTGAATTACTCCCTCCTTTTCAATTTATATGGCTTAGTTTGATAAGACACGAAGTTTAAGAAAGAAAGTACTCGCTCTGTTTCACTTTGTTTGGCGCTATTTCCATATTAGCTTGTTCCAAAAGAATGATACATTCTTATATTTACTTCATGAGAAGCTTCTATGGCTATATAAATGTTATGACATGTTTAAGATCACAAGTTTCAAGAATCTTATAACCACATAAACATTATGGTATATTTAAGACTACAGGTCTTAAGACTCCCTCCTTTCCTTTCTTTCTTAAATTTCGTGTCGAACGAAATTATGACAAACAAAGTGGCGGAGGGAGTAAAACTTTTGAAACTTGTGGTCTTAAATATGTCATAACATATGTGTGGTTATAAGACTTTTGAAACTTGTGGTCTTAAATATGTCATATCATTTGTGCAACTATAAAAGCTTGTTATTGAGAGTAAAATGCAGAGTTCAAGTTAAATTGGTTCCAAATTTAAAAAATAATGTTCTTTTTGGAATAAACTAATAAAGAAATAGTATCATTCTCTTTGGAAAGGAGGGAGTAAAGGAAGTTGCAGCCAAATAAAAATTCTCTCACTATGATGAACCATTTGAACGTCTGCATCTAGTATGAAATGGGTCTGAATGGAGGGAAGGGATACACAGGATTCATGAAGTTGACTTAACTAGTTTGAGTTGAGCTGTAGTATATTGGTTGACTGATTGATCTTTCAAGAGTTAGCAGATTAATTAGGAGGATTGTAACCAATGTAAATACAGTCTTAACTACAGTGAATAAACAAAGATCCTTATAGCTGATTCAACTAGTTTGGACTGAGACACAGTTGAATGTTTGACAGATTAGTCTTTTCAAAAGTTTACAGATAATAAGGAGGGTTGCAGCTAAACTAAAAACAGTTTAACTATGATGAATAATCTAAACATCAGTATTTAGTATGAAATGTGTCTGAATGGAGAGACTTGGCTAC